ACTGTTTTTATCTCTCAAAATTTGTCAAAAAAGGCAAATTTTTTGGTCAATTTTGTTCGTTTTAGTTGGTTTTCAAGCGAAAAATTCTTATATTTTGTAAAAATTTTGCCAAAAATCACCAATGTAAATTCAAATTAATGCCATTTTAATTCATTTTTGGCCAAGAATATTTGACTTGTTTCTTGATATTTTTAAAAAAAAATTTCAATTAAACCAAAAATAATGTTAATTAGTCTTGTTTCGAAAAATTTAGCTTGTTTTTCAGCCAAAAACTCATTTATTTTGTAAGGTTTGGTCATAATAACCAAAAATTCATTAAATTGTTGTTATTTTGACCAGTTTTGCTTAACTTTGGGCCAGAAACTGAGTTATATGTTGAGATTTATTAAAAACGAACACAAAATTAATAAATTAGATGTTATTTTAGATTAATTCGAAAAATTTATATCATTTTTAAGCANGAGTTATATGTTGAGATTTATTAAAAACGAACACAAAATTAATAAATTAGATGTTATTTTAGATTAATTCGAAAAATTTATATCATTTTTAAGCAAAGTTTTGTCAAAAAAGAAACAAATAAAATCAAAATTGTTTTTTTATGCTTGTTTATTTAGCTTGTTGTTGAATCAAAAAATTTACTTATTGTAAGATTTTGTCAAAAAAAACACAAAATGTTTTTGAATTAAATCACGTTTATGAATCAGAAATTTACTCATTTTGTAAGATTTTTTCAAAAAAAGCCAAAATTCTTTTAAATTAAATCTCTGTTTTCTTTTTAAGCAAGAAACTGTTTTTATCTCTCAAAATTTGTCAAAAAAGGCAAATTTTTTTGGTCAATTTTGTTCGTTTTAGTTGGTGTTCGAGCGAAAAATTTTTATATTTTGTAAAAATCACCAATTTAAATACAAATTAATGCCATTTTAGTTTATTTTTGACCGAGAATTTGCCTTGTTTCTCGATATTTAAAAAAAAAATCTAAATTAAAACAAATAATTTAATTAACAATTATAAAATTGAAGTTTCGGAGGTTRTGCATCTTGTCGCATTTTATTAATAAAAAATGTAATTGTTTTTCAAAATAAAATTCGGTTTTTGATTTTAAAATGCCAATCTATGAAATAATTTTTTCAACTCGTACTCTTCTGATTAATTTTTTAAATTTAGTTAAAAATGAGGTAAACTTGACAAAAAAACTTATTTTAATGAGCGAAAAAAAAACTTCGTAAACCAAACAAACATTAAAATAAATCAAAATTGGACTCTTTTGCAAAATTTTGCTCTTTTTTGAATCAAAAACTCACTTATTTTGTAAGATTTTGTCAAAAAGCCATTTTTTTTATTAAATCACAATTGGAGTTATTTTAAGTGATTTTTTCTTTTTTAAGTGAGAAACTGTTTTTATCTCCCGAAATTTGTCAAAAAAGGCAAAAAACAGCACATTTTTTGTAGTCAATTTTTTGCAAAAAATTATATTAGTAAAATTTTGCAAAAAATCACTAATAATAAATAATAATTAATGCTATTTTAATTCATTTTTGACCAAAAATTTAACTTGTTTCTTGATATTTTAAAAAAAATTCTGAATTAAATCAAAATTAACGTTAATTAGTTTTGTTTCGAAAAATGTTGCTTGTTTCTTAGCCAGAAATTCACTTATTTTGCAAGATTTGGTCAAAACGTCCAAAAATTCATAAAATCATGGATTGAAATCGGTATTATTTTGACCAGAGTAAAATTGACTTTTTAATTAGTTTGTTTCAAAAAATTTAATCAAGAAATTTTCTCAATTAGATTAAAATTGACTTTCCCAAACTGTTTTTTCTTTAAGACAAACCCAAAAAACCTACATAAAATTGACATTGTTTTGGTTTGTTACTTTTGGACGAGTAAATAATTTTTTTCACAATATTTTCTCAAAACAAACCCAAAAATCATTGTTATAGAAAAATCGAAAGTATTTTCTTCTGTTTTGCTCAATTTTTAGAGGGAAATTTATCAGATTTATCGCGGTTTTCGCTTGATTTTATTAATTTTTAATCAAAATATTAATTTTTTGCTCAAGATTTGAAAAAATACAATTTATCATATTTTTTTTTTATTTTTCTATTTCTCAATTATTCAGTAAAACTTAAAAACCAGAAATTATTTTCCTTTATTTTGTAATATTTTCATCATTTTTAGTGTTTTTTTTATTGTTTTGAAACACTAGACGACAAAATTTAAAGTAAAAAAAGCTAATAAAATAAGTTGTAAATAAAAAACAAGTAATAATGCATCAATTTATTGCTAAAAACTTGAGTCCATTTCTACATTGCCTTAAGCTCCAACTTATTATTTTATGATAAGTTCATGAATCCCAACCTGAAACTCCCAATTATGAAAACCCTTACTATAACTGAAATTTCTTACAGCTTTGCCCTCTTTTATGAAACACTGAAACAAGTTAACGGAGTAGACACAAGGGTCGGGGACCACAGGAGCTGAAACCTCTCACTTAATAATAACCCAAACWTGAAAAAAATCAATTTACTCGAAATACAGTGATTGTAAACAGTGATAACTTTATCGTGAAATTCTGCATCAACGTCTTTCACAACCTCAAAAGTGTCCAAAGCCCCCTCTTTGTTGATAGAACCGTCGGGATGTTGCTTAAAATCCGATAAAAACCGTTTTAATTCGACTCAAATCACTCACCATGTTGAATTTTTTGTGTGAACAAAAATACACACATTGCCCTTCATGACTGGTGGGGATTTTCATGGCCATTATATCGTCAAAATCACCTCAAAATTAAAAAAAAAATTGATTTAGTGTTAATTTGAAATTTTTTATTACTATCAGTGGCTTTTTCTTCAGCGACACATTCTTTCACAACGGCTTTAACCCTGTCTCTGGTTTGCTCGAGAAAAGCCTCATCCATCTGAAAAAACACTTTTAACTGAAAAAGTTTCAGTTTTTTACAACTTACAGCGAAAGTGCCAAGGATTGRGACAATTACCACTACGAAAACTAGCAAAAACTTCATGTTTAAACTTGAATGAGTGACTCAAGTTTTCCGAGGTTTTATATACGACATTTTCTTTGTAATCAAAACGCTAGAAAAGGGCAATTAAAAATTTAATCAATGATTTCGTTTCCGTGTCTGTCTATGTTTAAACAGGGTAATAATACAGTAATTTGAGGTTTTATGTAAGGAAAGTAGAAACTTTTATTATAGCTATTGATGCGAAAACCAAGGCCAAGAAAATTATTCCACCGAAATTGTTTAAAAAAAGTTGGTAAAAATCAATACGTATTGTGTGTTGTCTAGATTTGGGTAAAAAAACTTAAAAAAATGTTTTAAACAAATATCAAAGCTTATTTATAAAAAAATTGAACAATAAGTAATAAAAAAATATTACTTTAACTGATTTAATTTGAATGTAATCTTTTGCGTATTGTGTGTTGCCTACATTGAAAGCTTTAGGTTTAAAAAAAAGTATTTATTTATGAAATTTTTTTTTTTGTTTTGTTATGTAAGAACTAATGTGCTTTGCCAGGACTGTTTTGAAACAAATTTTTTATTAATAAATAAACTGGACAATTAATATTTTTTATTTTATTTGAAAATAATTTTTACTGTATTGTGTGTTGCCCAAATTTGAGCTTTTTGCCAAATTAGAATTTATCTACTAAAAAACTTTAAAAAATGTTTTAAACAAATATTAGAGTTTTCTAATAAATAAAATTGGACAACTAATAAAAAATTATTGCTGTGTATTGACACTTTAACTGATTGCATTTGAATGTAATTTTTTGCGTATTGTGTGTTGCGTACATTGAAAGCTCTAGGTTTAAAAAAAAGCATTTATTTTTGAAATAATTTTTTTTGTTTTGTTATGTAAGAACTAATGTGCTTTGCCAGGACTGTTTTGAAAGAAATTTTTTATTAATAAATAAACTGGACAATTAATATTTTTTATTTTATTTGAAAATAATTTTTACTGTATTGTGTGTTGCCTAAATTTGAGCTTTTTGCAAAATTAGAATTTATCTACTAAAAAACTTTAAAAAATGTTTTAAACAAATATTAGAGTTTTCTAATAAAAAAAATTGGACAACTAATAAAAAATTATTGCTGTGTATTGACACTTTAACTGATTTCATTTGAATGTAATTTTTATGCTGTATTGTGTGTTGCCTACATTGAGAGCTTTAGGTTTTTCGAAAAAAACATTTATTTTTGAAATAATTTTTTTCAGAACGTTTTGTTATGTAAGAATTAATGTGCTTTGTCAGGACTGCTTTGAAAGAAATTTTTTATTAATAAATAAACTGGACAATTAATATTTTTTATTTTATTGTTGTTGTGTTGCCTAAATTTGAGCTTTTGGCCAAATTAGAATTTATCTACTAAAAAAACTTCAAAAAATGTTTTAAACAAATATTGGAGTTTTCTAATAAATAAAATTGGACAACTAATCAAAAATTATTGCTGTGTATTGACTTTATTTGAAAGAAGTTTTATCGCCGAATTGTGTGTTGCCTATATTAAAGCGCTAGGTTTTTGAAGAAAAGTTTATTTTTTAAATGTTTCATTTAAATAATGTTTTAAAAACTATGTTACTTTACCAGGACTGTCTTTAAATATAGAATAATAAGATTTACTGTATTGTGTGTTGCCTGTATTTAGACATTTTTGTATTGGTTTCATTTGAAAGTAACATAATTGTATTGTGTGTTGTCTGTACTACAGGCGCTAGGTTTTTGAAGAAAATCAGTTTTTTGTAATGCTTTATTCTAATAATCACTTTTTTTAAAAAGCCAAAATTTTTTAAAAGTAAATCTTTGTTTCCTTTCTTTTTGAGCGAGAAACTGTTCAAATCAGATTTTTTTGGTCAATTTTGTTCGTTTTAGTTGGTTTTCGCGGAAAAATTTTTATATTTTATAAAATTTTGCCAAAAATCACCAATTTAAATACTAACTGCCATTTTAATTCATTTTTGACCAAGAATTTGACTTGTTTCTCGATATTTAAAAAAAATTCTAAATTAAGTCAAATAATTTAATAATAATTAACAATAAAAAATAAAAAAAATTCGGAGGTTTTTCATCTTGTCGCATTTTATTAATAAAAAATGTAAATGTTTTTCAAAATAAAATTTGATTTTTGATTTTAAAATGCCAACCTATGGAGTAATATTTTTCCGATTCTATTTTTATTTTTTTAGTGTTTTTAACTCGTACTCTTCCGATTCATTTTCTACATTTTGTTTAAAAATGAGATAAAATTGACAAAAAACACTTATTTATGAGCGAAAAAAAATTTCGTAAACCAGACAAACATTAAAATAAATCAAAATCGGTCTCTTTTGAGTTAAATCAAGAACTTACTTATTTTTGTAAGATTTTGTCAAAAAAAGCCAATTTTTTTTTATTAAATCACAATAACAATAAGTAATAAAAAATTTTACTTTAACTGATTTCATGTGAATGTATTTTTTCCTGAATTGTGTGTTGCCTACATTGGAAGCTGTAGGTTTTTAAAGAAAAGCATTTATTTTTTAAATAATTTTTTTCAGAACGTTTTGTTATGTAAGAATTAATGCGTTTTACCAGGACTGTTTGAAAGAAATATTTTTTAATTAATAAAATATAATCACTTTTTTATTTTATTTGAAAATTATTTTTACCGTATTGTGTGTTGTCTAAATTTGAGCTTTTTGCAAAATTAGAATTTATTTATTTAAACAAATATTAGAGTTTTGTAATAAATAAAATTGGACAACTAATAAAAAATTATTGCTGTGTATTGACTTTATTTGAAGGAAGTTTTATCGCCGAATTGTGTGTTGCCTATATTTTTAAAGAAAAGTTTATTTTTTAAATGTTTCATTTAAATAATGTTTTAAAGCCTATGTTACTCTACCAGGACTGTTTTTGAATATAGAATAATAAGACTTTCTGTATTGTGTGTTGCCTATATTTAGACAACATTTGAAAGTGATATAATTGTATTGTGTGTTGTCTACACTGCAGGCGCTAGGTTTTTAAAGAAAATCAGTTTTTTGTAATGCTTTATTCTAATAATCACTTTTACAAACTGTTATGTAACTAATTTACTCCACTAGGACTTCGTCAAGGCCCACCTGGTCACAAATTATAAAAAATAAAAAAAGACATTTAAATTCCTACTTACCGCCCTTCCCTCTTTTACAACACAAGTGACTATATTAGCGGCGTAAAGGCACGGATCACTGTCGAATGGTGCTGAAAAAAGAGTTTTAACCAAATCCAAAACTGAAAAAATCCATTATACCATTTTCACAATTTTTGAAAGACGTTGAAAGTTTGTTGTAAATATCAACATCCATGTCTTTGATAAGTTCCAAATTGGCCAAAGCACCAGCCATGTTGAGACTACCATCTTCGTTTTGCTACACACGAAATGATTATTATTTAACTTGGGTGGAAACCACTCACTTACCGCATTGTACATTTTGTGCATACAGAAGAAAATGCATTTTCCTTCATGAGTGGTGGGGAGTTTGTGTGCAAAAAGTGCGGAAACATCATCTAAATTATTTCTAATTAATTTACGAATTGATTAATTAATTAATTAGTACCTGGCCCAGCGTTCACTTCTTTTGCACATGCTTCCACATGTGTTCGCAATTTTTGTCTCAATTCTTGAACAAATTCTTTGTCGATCTAAAAATATCAATAATTATGATGATTTTTGGAAAAGTTCACTTACCGCATGTGTGGCGACGATTAAAGTTGCTAAAGTGATAAAAAACTTCATTTTTCTTTGATGGGTTTTGTTCTTCTGATAACAATTGATGCCACTTTGCAATTTTATATATTAAACCGAGGCCATTAAATCGATTTTTTGTGCTTTTAATCGTTATTAAGGACATAATCACCAGGTATACTAATAATACACTTAGAGGATTTGGTAATTGCCATAATAAACGATAATAATCTACAGGTGGTCCCAATAAACCCCACATTACAAGTATATTTGACAATGATATTTGTGTTTCAAGTATTGTTAAAATGCACTTCAGGCTGGGTTTTTATTGTATTTTTGGATTATTATAAGCTTTTTTATTTATCCAAATTTAATTTTTTTTATGAAAATTTTTGCATTTAAGTAACACCATTCTTCTCAAAAATGATAATTCTGTAATATTTTTATTATTATTGCGTTTGAGCATTTAATGAGACATTCAATTGAAAAAATGATTAACAAACCCCCAAAATTTAAGCTTATTAAAAAATGTGTACATCTAATTCCAATTTCAAAAAAATTCCACCAAATTTCCAGTAATTTCAAAACGAAATCCAGTAATTCCAAATAATTTCAGTATTTCACAAGTAATTCCAAAGACTTTCAAATACCAAAAATTTGGACAACTAATTCTGAATGAACGGCCCATCGATTTTTTTCAAAATTATGAAAATTTATTTTTAAATTTGAATAACTTAATAATAAAGACAAAAAAATTGATTACTGTTTTAATTTTTTGGAGTTGCTTGGTTAAAGACCAATTTCTAACAAAATTTTTGTTTTGAAAAATCAAGTATGCATGGAAATTTTCAAAAAAATATATTTTAGTGTAAAGTGCCTTTTATGTGGCAAATACGGCAAATATTATTTTTCAATTTTTTTTAAGTTTATTTCACAAATCAAAGAATTCTATTTGTAATTATTGTGAATAAAAAAAACACATTTAGATTATTACTGCGAAATAATTTTTTAACGTATTTTTTACTAAAAAGCAATGTTTTTTTTAAAAAAGAGAAATAGTTGGCTGAATTTTGAAATTTGGTATGTTGATTTTAAACAACTTTTTTTAATAACTTTTTGTCGTATTTGCCACACAAAAAGGCACATTACTCTAAAAAATAAGTTTTTTGAAAAATTTCCAAGGCATACTTGATTTTTTCAAAACGAAAACTGTTACAAATTAATCTTAAACTTCAAAATTTGAGAATTTTTCATCTTTCACAAGACACACTGTATAAATTTGTTTTCGTTTCGAAATATTTCTCAATGAATAAACGAAAAGTTGTATTTTCTTAAAATAAGTTAAATTCATTTAATCTGAATTTGATTAATTTTCATTCTGAATTTTTTCTTATTTTTATGGGTATTTAACTTAACGTTAAATTTTTTGTGTTTGGTAATTACTTTTTCTAATTATYAACCCACCAAAAGAAAGATCGAACCTTTCTCTTATAAATGCCCAAATACGGTTTCATAATAGTTAAAAATGGCAAAGTTATCGGTTTTTGAAGAGGAAGGTATAAATCCAAAAATTTCCAAAAAAAGTCTCAAAAACTCAAAAACGGCTGAACTAAGGTATAGTGCAGGTTAATGATAACCTTCAGATAAATATCATTGCAGAAACTCACAAAATTTATGTGGGGCATTATACAGGGTGTCAAAAAAAGATTGTAAAATATTTAAGGAGGTAATAGTGTGGACCAAAATAAACAAAAAAGTCTTAACAAATTGCAAATAAATGTTTCGAAATTTTTTATTACTATCAGTGGCTTTTTCTTCA